TAACTACTTTCTAGTCAACTACCCAATGGTAGTTGAATTTCTCGGCAACATTTTTTTCAGTGTAGTAAATCGCACATAGGTTACCTAGGTAAATCACGGTCTGATGCAGATAAATAATATAAAATCTAATATTTTGTCGATTATCTTTAAAAAGTAATAATAGCTTTGAAGTCGAATCTAATTATTATTTATTTAAAATAAATAACCAACTTCGGAGAAATAATACAATACTTCGTTTTTCTGGGATACAGAATCATCACGATAATGAAGAATGTATGGATTATGAATATTTGCAATCAACGAAACATTCTAAATATTGTTTAAGACACTGGCGTTTTATGGAAAAAAATCGTCTAACAGAAAAAACAATAGATAAACTAAAAAATAATATAATTATTGATGGAGGACTTGTTGCTACTGAGGAAAAAATACGCAGTAAATTGAAGAAATTCAACTTTCCAGATAATAATATATTTTTATTTTACTTTGTCACAGAATGGAAAAAAAACAAAAAATTTGAAAATTCTGATTGGAGTAGAAGCTGTATGGTAGAAAATCCGGATCTATTGAATAAACTGAGGTACGATTCACTGTAAGAAAATAACACTAACAATTCTAGATCGTATAAGTAGAATCAATTCAATTTATACCTATAGAGAAAGATATAAGATTGAAGAAAGTCTATCGATTGAGAATATAATTAAAGAATACTATGCTTTACGAAATTTTGTTGAATCCGGATATAGAAGAATAACTGGTGACACATATGAAGCAAAACAAATGAAACTTGATTTATATAAATTAGCTATAAGACAATCTGATGATTTAAGAGAGGAATTTGAATGGACATTATTTCGAGTGGAATCAAAACCTATTGAATATGTTAATAAATAAGTAACAATTGGTAAGCAAGTTATTTTTCAAAAATTTACATTAACATCAATCTGCCATTAGATGCAAATGCATGAGCTTCTGGTTTTAAAAATTATTTTGTATTTTACTGATCCTTACTTTAGAGCAACAATTGGAACGAAAGTCCATCAGTTTGATTCTATAAATGAGAAGAAAGTAATTCTTTTACCTGGTACTGAATTTCAAATTAATTTGAATTATTTATTAAACAATAAAAAATCTAATAGGGTCAGTTGGGGTAAATGGGGACAAGAGGTTTTCGAGCTTAATTTACAGTTTTAAAATGAAGTTCAACGTCAATATTTTAACCTCAGATCACCTGCAAGAGGTTTTGAGTATTGCTAAGCTTTTATCTTGACAATTGGCAGCAAGATAAAAAAAAAGTTATCGCTCAATGCATAAAAACTTGAAAATCAAAGTCAAACTGTTTCAGTATGATGTCGAGTATTACAAAGAAAACAGACATAAAAATCATACCAAATTTTTTTCTTATTCCATATGACTCGCATAACAGAAATTCACTTGAATTTTTGATTTTTATCAATTTGGTTAACAATGACAAGCTGTCCCCATTTACCCTGAGGTTTCAAATTTTTGGGGTAAATGGAAACATCTTATCATTATATTAACCAAATTAACAAAAATTAAAAATTCAAGTGAATTACTGTTATGGGAGTCATAAGGAATAAGAAAAAAATTTGTTATCATTTCAATTGGTTCAACTATTATAATATCTACTATAAATTTTTTTCAAGTTTTTTCATCTCTTAATACAGTAATATACTTAAGGAAACTTTTTTCTTAAAACTTTCTTAGAAACTATGCTGTCCCCATTTACCCCAAATTTTATGAAATTTTCTAAATTTTGGGGTAAATGGAGACAGTCAGTTTCATGCGTTTGAAGCTTATCTAAATTTTTTTCTGCTACATAAAATTAATCTTCGGAAAGTAAATAATAACTAAAAAAAAAACCCCAAAATATTACTTTTTAAAGGAAGAAACTAACGTAATTTGTGAAAAATAGCGATTTTGTCCCCATTTACCCCAACTGACCCAATTTTGTCAATTAACTTCCCTCATTTGTTATTTATAAAAAAAAAATTTGAATCCAGCTTGGAAGAATTTAAAACAAATTTAAATTGATTTTATCATTTAGTTTGTAAAATTATTTATTTACCATAAACCTTAATATAGAGATTGTACTTTTTCTTTATATTTATATATATAGAAAGGAGAATATATATATATATATGTATTATGACTTTCTCGGTTTTCACTTGCCAAAAGAGTGAAATAATTTCACTTGAGAGAATATTCATAGTATATAGTCTGCATGAAACCTCTTTGCTAGAATTTAATTGGCCACATTTTCAGGGAATCCTTTTGAATTTCAAGCGCGAGTACGAAAAGAATTTGTAGAATTTAAAAAATATTTTCACTCTTTGCGTCTACTGGCGAGACTTTAGTTTTTCGTTAATTTTTTTTCTTTTCATATTTCTCTCTCTCTCTCTCTCTCTCTCTCTCTCTCTTTTCTTTCTGTCTCATACATTTTTAAATACGTATACACACACATATATAGAGTAAAGCGCATATTCTTCTTGTAAAGCTGAACGCACACCTATACCAAGGAGTGAATATTAAACCGTGAAATAATGATAGGAATAAAAAAAAGGAGACAGGGATAGGAGATCCATTGAAAAAAAGGTATAAGGGAAAAAAGTGAGCCTTTTATGCATATCGTTTACGTTGAGGGAAGCTTCGCGTTTAGTAACTCGGACTCCACGACGACGACGATGATGATGACAAACGTAAAAATTCTCGAACGAAGGTTTTTTAACGAACAAGTCGACGACAAACCCTTAAGTTATAGTTCATCTTTCGAAAAGGAATCAGCTTTTCTATGTATATAGGTACAGCTCTGGAATTAATGGACATTGAAAGGAGCACGTGAGCGTTCTTTCGAACATTTCCCCTCTCTCTCTCTCATATAATAGCGATTTGAAAAGATATTGTCCCTTTAGAATAAAAAGAAAAAATAAGCAGTCATATTTTTCAGTACCTCTTATGTGAGATTATTCTTTTGTTGTAGCTTTGATTGAAAAGTGATATTCAAAATTTTTATAGTATATTTACCGCAAAGTAATGCAGATGATTTTTTTTTTTAATTAAATTTTATTTAAATTAAATCAAATTTAATTCAAAATTTTCTTGCAGATTATAAAATATTAAATTCTATGAAGTTTTAGAATCAAAAGTAAAAGAAATCCGTTATCTATATTAAAAAAAAAAAAACAGTTGTAAAAACACAAAAATAAAATTCAAAGTGTTTCCATAGATTTAATCTGTCTTCTAAAATTTCTTCTTTAATAACTTCTGTCAGTCACGTAACTTTTTTTTTTACTATCTCATTCCACTTGAATAAATGGAGAAAAAACAATAGTCTTTTCTTTAAAATAAAAAAAATATTAATAGAAAAATGACAAAATATTGTTGTTCAAATGAAAGTTGAGTGAAATCTTGTTTACATGAAATGAAAATATAAGATATCATTTATCGTATAATAATGTTGGGGAAAAGTTTGACTGTCATATAGAGTCGTCGTCGTCGTCGACGGCCAAAGAAGAAGAACCGGAAGAAAACGTCGCGTCGCGCGTCATGGCCCCAAGAGTAGTCGCGACATAAATACGATAGGGAACCCCCTCTGACCTGATGCGACGTCGACATCGTATGAGAGAGCCGCAATACAATATATATATATATATAAACATGATATGGCGGCAACTTGGGGAATAAACCGAGACGTGACATAGAGAGATTCCGAGATCCTCTCTAGGTGTCGTGTAGCGTAACACGTGGGGATATATTCTCTTCAAATACGAAGACCTACGCTTCTTGTAAACACCCCAAGGGGGTTTAGTGACTGGGGTATGATCGTCGTTGACAACCTTTGTATATCACTCGGTACCGTCGAGCTTCTACAACGTATTCATTCTAGTTTTGATTTTTATAATCATATATATATATGCTACACAAACGGAAAAGATATCGTTGGTAAATCTGTATTTTTTATTGATAAATACGGGATATTTATTTTCTAGGAATATTACATCGATTTATTATCTATTTTACTTTTGATGTAGCCATTCTATTGATATATTCATATTTTGGATTTTATATTGCAATTTTATAAGTAATTGAATGTGTCATCCATTTGTTTTTGTTGAGATAACATGGATTTGCCAATCGATACTTTTCCTGTTCAAATTATTAGTCGAAATTAATAATACTAATATATTAATACTGCCGTCCTGATTTAAAAAGACAATATCTACATTTGTTGCTTAGGTCGTTATTCAGTTGTATCAACACACAAAAGTGAGCCGAAGCAACAAATATAGATAGTGTATTTTTAAATCAGGACGGCAGAATAATGATAATACTTAGTAAAAAAAAATTGCCAAAACAATAAATAAAATTCTACATCATAATGTTGGGTAATACTCAACACTAAAGAGATAAAATACTCTGTACTTTGTAAGACCAGGAGAAATGTTCACTGCTACTCGACGAATCGAAAAGTGATCGCTCGGCAGTAAACGAACTATATTTATACTCTAGGCGCGCAAGTGTGTGATGGAGGGGGCACTCGGACTCTCTGACTAGCGAGAGTCTCGCCCCCTCCATCACACGCTTGGGCGCCTTAAGTATAAATATCGTGCGTTCACTGTGAAGCGGTTACTTTTCTATTAGAAACGCCAACAACCACTAGTAAACGAAAAAATGCGATTATTTAAACTTCTCAAATATAATAAAATATTATAAGAACAGTAAAAAATTGTAACACTTAAATTTATTTATTTTATAATAATTTATAAAGCTTTCTAATAAAAATTAATGGTATTAAACTACTTTCAGGTTAATATTTGTTGGAATTAATCAAATTTTTATACATAGTTACTAAATTTTCTCGTATTAGTTTCAAAAATTTTTTTTTAGTAATTATAAAAAAAATCGAAAATTCTAAAAAAAACCATATAAAATGTAAAATAAAATTTTCATTAATATTATTATTGTTTTTTTAAATAAAATCAATTGTATATACATTCTCCATATTAAAAAAAAAATGTTTAAAATCTAATTCGAACATTCCGCACCAGTCACGTTTCCCAAAAAGTGAATTCCCAACACTAATGGATTTAAACGTGGTTTTTGTAAATTTCTTTTAAATATAGATACTCTTCCATCAACTCGGCCACATTCTCGATTTTCCGTTGGATATGTATAAGGATCAGGTACTCTGTAAACTGCTTTAGTACCCTATAGAGAAAAATTTTATATTTCAATTTTTATCTAAAAATTATGGTTTAAAAAAAATGTTTTATTTATATGTATAATATATTTTTTTTAAAGAAAATATAGAGCTTATATTAGTTTTTTAATTTACTCACTTTTTTGATTGGACAATTGAGGAGCCGGATCGTGTAACTCGATTTGCGCTCGGGCCGGTCGCTCTGGAGCCAGTCAAGACGGTCAGAAAAGATAAAAAATAAAATTCGGAATTTTCAATTTTGAAAATTACTGCCATATAGAGAATGAAAATGCGCATCTTTTTCGTTAATGAAATTTTTTTGTACGATTATTATTTTTAATAATAATGGGAAAAAACTGCAAATTTTTTATTTTCGAATTTAATTCATTTTCTAAACATAAATCGTCACTGCTCGTACAAATCTTAGTGAAATTAATTGAAAATTGGTATACTTACGTATTTGGGTCTTCCGAAGACGATAAAATGATAAAAACATTTTAAAAAATTTATTGAAAAATTATTTGTTAATGTAAACAGAGACCTGTCGGTAAATACGTTTTCTCAACTTCAACGAGAAAAAGTATGCGGGGAACTTTCGAGTTAACAATACTTCCAGTGAGACATTTGTTTATTATTATATAAAGAAGTTTTTTGGAAATTTTCGTGCCGTTTCATCAACAACTTTAGAAGATATAAACATTTTCTGAAAATGGAATTTGCGCGTCAGCACCATCGCCACAGCAGACTTCCCACGGAGACCTACAATAAGTGAAAACTGATTCGTATTTTTTGTACTACATTTTAAGAAATATTTTGTTATTTATAAATAATTTTTCTTGATTAATTATTTATCATTTTACTATAAACTTTTTTCAATTTTTGCAAGTTTTTTTAATTCTTTTTACTAAATTATTGTAATGTAGGTTAATCTGTTTTGACGTTCGTTTGTTTTGATTTTCGTTTGTTTTGATGCACAACAATAATAGTGTAACAAGTGGCGTTCCATTTTAACTGTGGTCATTTCGTTTTTTGGCGTTTATCTTTTTAACAATTCGTGTTGGAAAACTATTTTAAGTTAAATATTTGCCTTTAAAATATTCGTTATTTTAATGGCAGAAGTAAATTATTCGTCAAGTGGTTCCAGAAAAAGAAAAAGGAATGAAATTTTATGGAAACAAAATGTAAAAAAATTGGCTAAAGATAAGGTAAGTTTTTAATTATCTTGTATTCTTATTGCTTAAATGTTTTATTTTATAATAGAAAGAATTTTTCTTTAATTTGCAGAAATATTTTTAAAAAGTAATTTTGCAAATAGATTACACATAAAATTTAATTTAATAAAAATAATATTAAAATCAAACCTAAAAAATATTTATTAAAGCAGAATTAAATTTTGTTAATACACAATTTAATAATTAAAAAAAAATTAATTTGACATTTTTGAATTATATAAATACAGTCAGTGTAAATGTAATAAATACATTTTCATTTAATTATATAAAACTGGCTAAATTGGATTTAAGTTTTTCATGAGTAATAAGTGCATAATATTTATTATAACAGGGAGAAGAATATACTTCTTGTTCCGGGAAAATAATTTCTGAGAAGCGATTTAATACTGTCCAGGATTGCTGTAAAAGAAAGTGTTTCGAAAATATCGAGAGTTCTGAACAAGAAGCTTTTTTCACTTCGTTTTGGAAAACTTTAGGGGATTACAAAACGCAGAATGTGATGCTGAGTAGTTTAATTACACAGAAATCAATTGAGAATCAATCTTCCCAAGACAAGAGTAAAACTTTGTGGCAATATTCATTCCATGGTGAATCTAAGCGTATCATTGTTTGCCAAAAGTTCTTATGCAACTTGCTCGATATAAAAATAGGTAGGTTTACAGTTATCCAAAAAAAAATGCTTTCAAATGAATCTCTAGAAAAAAGAACTGGTAAACATGAAAATCGTGTACAGAAATTAACGGAAGATGTAGAACTATTAATTCGGGAGCATTTGTTTTTGATTCCTCACACACCATCGCATTATAGTTCAGAAAAATCTGGACGGTTGTACTTCGAAGACTCTGAATTAACGATAACTAAATTGTTTTCACTATTCGTTGAGTACTATATTAAAAAAACGGGCAAAAAACCACCAATTGGAGAGTCGACGTATTCGAAATATTTTAATAATAATTTAAATTTTTCATTTTCGAAACCGCACACGGATGTTTGTGATTTTTGCTTCAAATTTCGAAATGAAAAGGACAATGTAGATTTAAAGAATCACAAAAAAGCTGTTGAAGAGCATTATGCTCTAAAAAAAGCTATGACGACAGAACCGGATGTATTGTGCATCGAATTTGATTTCGGACAAAATTTACCTTTGCCGAAGCTACCTTGTTCTGAGCAATTTTACAAGCGATTACTTTGTCTTAATGTTCTTAATGTCAATGTTCTTAATGGTGAAAAGCGAAGCTATATGTACTGTTTTTTGGAAGGAAATTTAAAAAAGGGTTCGAACACAGTTTGTAATTTTCTTTTTGACGCAATTAAACGGGAATTTAATTTCAAGTACTACAACAAAATTTATTTATTTTCCGACAATTGCACTGAGCAAAACAAAAATTATTTATTACTTTCGTTTTTATCACTGTTGTCAAGAAAATTACAAATTGAAATTCGGCACTTATATCCGGTTTGTGGCCATTCGTATTGTTCTTGCGATAGAAATTTCGGTCTATATGGTCAAAAAAAAAAAGAAAACGGAAACAATAGAAACGGCAGATGATTATTATAAAATTATAAGAGAAGCAAAAAATCCGGCTTTTATTATCATTGAAGACAAAGATATCTTAGTACACGATTTCGAAATTTTTTTACCAAAAAGTTTAAATCTTCCAACAGCTGCTTTAAAAATTTCTGAATCAGTAAAAGTAAATTATTACGCGAATGGTACTATTGAAATGTTCCAAAATTATAATGAGAAACCCATTGAGCATATTGTAAGAACCGATTTTGAATTTGACAATTTATTTCAAACGCCTCGTGCTCCTCCAATAGGAATCACTCAGGAGAAAATAAAAGACGTACAATCTTTATTTAAATATTTAAGTCCAAATGGAAAAGCGTTCTTTGAAAATATAATAGGAAATTCGAGCAAAAAAGAAAGTAAATCGACTGCGAAAGAACCAAAAACTACGAAAAAAGATCTAAAAAATTTTAAAAACTCCAGCAACAAATCGAGTAAATCTATTTCAAGTAATAAAAAAAATACGAAAAAAGTGACGGAAGAAAAAAAAACCTTGAATAAACAACCAAATAAATCCAGTGCGAAAAAATCAAAAACTACATGAAAAAATATGAAAAATTTAAAAAACTTAAAATAAAATAAATCTATTTTAAGTAAACAAAAAACTATTTGTTTGAAAAACTTTATGTATTTTTGTAACTCGTTGATTTACCAAATTTAATTTGAAATGCCAAAAATAAAAAAAAAGTTTGAAAACCACTACTTAGTAAATTGGGCTTAATAATTTATAAAATAAGTAATTTATAAATTATAAAATATTAGACTGATACTTTATTTAAGTGTTTTAGTTTTATAAGTTTACCAAACCCTGTCAAAGTATTAGATAAAAGACTGATTGAAATCGATATTACGGAATTAATTAACATATTATTTAAAAAAATGTAATTTTTTAGTTGAATATTATTTAACAATATTATATTTGCACAATAAAACATTTTATGGATGTAGAAAATATTTTTATTGACTGATTGCACCTGAAATGAGTCAGTTTTCACTTATTGTAGGTCTCCGTGGGAAGTCTGCTGTGGCGATGGTGCTGACGCGCAAATTCCATTTTCAGAAAATGTTTATATCTTCTAAAGTTGTTGATGAAACGGCACGAAAATTTCCAAAAAACTTCTTTATATAATAATAAACAAATGTCTCACTGGAAGTATTGTTAACTCGAAAGTTCCCCGCATACTTTTTCTCGTTGAAGTTGAGAAAACGTATTTACCGACAGGTCTCTGTTTACATTAACAAATAATTTTTCAATAAATTTTTTAAAATGTTTTTATCATTTTATCGTCTTCGGAAGACCCAAATACGTAAGTATACCAATTTTCAATTAATTTCACTAAGATTTGTACGAGCAGTGACGATTTATGTTTAGAAAATGAATTAAATTCGAAAATAAAAAATTTGCAGTTTTTTCCCATTATTATTAAAAATAATAATCGTACAAAAAAATTTCATTAACGAAAAAGATGCGCATTTTCATTCTCTATATGGCAGTAATTTTCAAAATTGAAAATTCCGAATTTTTTTTTTTATCTTTTCTGACCGTCTTGACTGGCTCCAGAGCAACCGGCCCGAGCGCAAATCGAGTTACACGATCCGGCTCCTCAATTTTTGATATTTACAAATTTTGACAAAATTAATAATTGAACGTCATGCTCTAAACTTCCAATTTTATAGTTAGCGCATAAATTGTCAACTTTTATGATTTCTCGAGTTCCAGTATCCTCGAAAATATAACTGAAGTAAGCCTTAAAAAATTATATAAAGAAAAATAAAAATAGTTTTGAATTTTAAACTAAAATCGAATTTAGCCCAAAGTAGCTTTTTACTTTCCATGTAGTAAAAAATTATAATTTTTTATATTATATTATATCATATTATATTATATTATGTTATATTATATTATATTATATTATATTATATTATAGTATATTATGACAAAAATATTTTGCAATTATTTTTATATCTGTGCAACCCGAGCTGTTTATGTTTACATTTAAGTACAAAGGGTAACTGAAACCCTAAGTTATAAACAATGCGTGCGGGTAGAAAATCTCAAGTGATAATTCAATCAGTTGCAATTCGTGTATCGACCTGTTAAGACATGATAAATTCGAATGTAAATTTTGTAAATTAAATAGCAAAATTTTTATGTATTAAATATATATTTTCTTTATCGTCTTTTCATATTTGAAGTAAATTTTTTTGTGAGTGTTCGAATTTTTTAATTCGTGAATAAAAAATATTCCAAACTTTTTTTTTATCATTTTAGTAAATTATTTGTTTCGGAACTGTTCGAAATTCTTAAAATTACGATTGCGTAAATCTTTAGGAAAAGTAATTTGTTTTTTTAATTTATTAAACGTGATTTCGATAGTGTACGAAATTTTTTAAATATCGCGTGTGTTTAATACAGATTTCATTGTTTAAAATATTTATGATACATCGGCTGCTCTCTAAGGTTAGAAATATATTTTTTGTAAGTAATAATAATAATAATAATAATAATAATAATAATAATAATAATAATAATAATAATAATAATAATAATAATAATAATAATAATACAATTGTTTTTTTTACCAAAAAAAAAATTGAAATATATTACATTATTTTGTTTTACAAAAAAGTTATTACTATTTTAAAGCTCATAAAAATTATTATAATTAATTTTTATTTTATTTATATTATATTATTATGTTTCTGTATGCTTTGTGAGCAAAACTATAAAATCTGTGTTATTGAAAAAAATTCATGAATCTTGCAAGTTTTAAAGAAAAATATTAAAAGTTAAAAATGTTGATGGGTGGCCACCACCCAGTGTGACCTCCAAGGGTTAAAAAAATATAAATATACCTAGGTATAATATACTTGAAATACTTGCATTTAGTGTATGTTTGTTGCAATCTATATACTCTGACCATAAAATTTCGTATCCATTTGGTATTTTTGTTAAATTAACACCTCGAAATTGATTACTTGTTCTCATATATACCCAGTGAATAGTATCTGTCCGATTTAGCAGCTTTAAATATAAAATTAATACTATATCTCTATTTTATATATGTTTTGGCAATGAAAAATTTTAAAACTCTTGTGATAATTAAATAATTTCTTGATAAAATAAATTATTTATAGATACCGTCCGTTGTTCCAGTTTTAATTCTGTTTTAATTTTAATGATATGAATTTATATATAAAAAAAAGTATTATATTAATTTATATGATTTATAATTTTATAATGAATAATAAGTTGATTTAATTTCAACAAAAATAAAATGGAAGTCTGTTAAAAAGAAATTTGCAATTATTATTATAGAGTTAGTAAGTAACCAAAAACTGGAACAATGACAGAAAAAGAAAATTTTATATTCAAAATTTTTAATTTTTTTTTTTTTAATAAATTATCTTACAACTCCAACAGTAATAGAAACATATGCGAAAAGAAGGAAAATTGTTTTAAACATCATTGACTTATCAGTATGTAACACTTATTGAAACTTAAGACTTAAAATGTCCTATGAATAACTCTTTTTATACTTTTTCTTAACAAAAGGAAATGTAACTCAAGGCATTAATAACCTCATTATCAATTCTTATCAATATTTATCCATTTCTAAAAAGTTTTTTTTCAAATAAAATGCAAAATATAAGCATTTATAAATAAACGATGATCAATATATACATGTGAATGGTTTCAAAAGTATTTTTTACTTTTTTTAAATAAATAAATAATCAAATTCTTATTGAATTATTTTTATTTCTTTTCATCATACATTTCAAAAATGGAATAAAGAAAAAAAATTACACTTTCGACATTTGTTGAACTTTTTATTTATATTCCATTTAATTTTTCTTTCATATTGCTAAATTAATTTAATAGCGAAATTAATTTCGTTAATTAAGTTAATTAATTAAAATTAATTTTTTTTATCCAATGACATATTGTTGATGTTTTGTATTTGTTATATATTGCACTTGTCCGACAAAATTCAACTTTTTTTTTACCCACAAAAAAATCCAACATTTTCGGAAACTAGGACCAAAAAAAAAAAAAAAAAATACCCGTGTCTGGCCGTTTTGCTAGATCAAGTCGTTTGTGGTTTTTAGGGGTGAAAACAACCCCTAAATGAAAAGTGACAAAATATCTTTTAAAAATTATTAATATTTTATAAAACTTGTTATCTGGGTCGCTGATTATTAATCTAATGTCAGATTTTCAAAACTCAAAATGGCGGATCCAATATGGCGGTCAAAAAAAAATTTTTAAAGTTATTAAGTTTTTATTTTATATCCGCCATTTTGAATTTTGAAAATTTGACATCAAATTCGTCATCAGCGACTCCAAAAACTCGTAGAGATACCACACGGAGAGAAATTTCTAGGAATATTTACTGTGCTGCCATCTGAAAGTGAGTGCAAAGTACATTCTGGCAGTTTTTACTGTGCTGCCCCTACAAATTTGCAATACAGATTGTAGAGGCGGCACAGTAAAAACAGCCAGAATGTACCTTGCACTCACTTTCAGGTTGCAGCACGGTAAATATTCGTTCCTAGAAATTTCTCTACGTGCAAGTTTTATAAAAAAAATTAACAAATTTTTAAAAATTTTATCGACATATTGGATTCGCCATTTTGAATTTTGAAAATCTGACATTAGATTAATAATCAGCGACCCAGATAACAAGTTTTATAAAATATTAATAATTTTTAAAAGATATTTTGTCACTTTTCATTTAGGGGTTGTTCTCACCCCTAAAAACCAAAAACGACTTGATCTAGCAAAACGGCCAGACACGGGTATTTTTTTTTTTTTTTTTTTTGGTCCTAGTTTCCGAAAATGTTGGATTTTTTTGTGGTTAAAAAATCGTATCGGACGGTGTTGTATTTCATTGAAATTTTCGTTCTTATTTTTAATTCAAACAATTAGGTCCAGTGACATATCCTGTAAAATGAATTCGTAACAAAAGTGGTGTATGGTCATTTCTTCGCGAATGTGTTTTGCTTATATACGATGATCCGTCAACCCATCCACATTCATGATTTTTCGTTTCCCATGTGTAAGTATCGGGTAGTCTGAAAATAACTTGTGTACCCTGTGGAGAAATTTTTTTTTTTTTTTAATAATTTTTAAATTTAAAACCGGTTTTAGACCCCGCACAAAATAATAATAACAGTAATAATAATTATTATTATTATTATATAATATTATTATAATTTATACATTTATTATATATTTATTTATGTAATATTATATAATTATAATAATAATAATGATAACGATTATTATTATTATTATTATTATTATTATTATTATTATTATTATTATTATTATTATTATTGATAATAATAATAATACCCTTCCTACCTTTTTAATTGGACATTGTTTTGTAGTTGCAAATTTTGTCAGCATATGTTGTTGAACAGCAAACTCTAAAGTTCCGGGCATCTCAGTACCGCACAAATTTTTGACGTTTATAATTTCCCGACTTCCCGACTTTTCGAAAATATAGTTAAAGTACACCTAGAATAATATAAATTACAGTGAATTGCATCAAATTTACTTTAATATAGTGTCGAAATTACCCCAGCCTTATGTCAAATTTGCCCCATTGCATCGAATTCACTTTATTAAAGTGTCAAACTTACCCCAGTCTAATGTCGGATTTGCCCCATTGCATTGAATTTCATTTATTATAGTGTCAAACTTACCCCAGTCTAATGTCGGATTTGCCCCACTGTATCGAATTTCATTTATTATAGTGTCGAAGTTACTTCAATTTAATGTCAGATTTTACCCAATATAGTACTAGATTTACCCCAATGGAATGTTAAATTTACCCCAATTGTCAATTTTAGCTTAAAATAGTGCTGGATTTACCATAATATAGTGTCGGAGTTACCCCAAACTAGTGTCAAATTAACCCCAGTGTAGTGTCGTATTTACCACACAATTGATTTTTTTTTGTATTTTAATATGTAATTTTTCAAATAAAAAATCGATAGAAATTCTTTATTGTGAATTTTAATGCTTTTGTTTTGTATTGACGTACTTTTAAGGAATTCGCACTGTCATCATAGTCCTCCAACCAATTAATTATGTAGCCACCATTTATTTGTCTTACTCTAACTCCTTGAAACTCTTCACCTCTCCTGATTTGCACCCAGTTAATATAATTCGTTCTATTGACGAGCTTCAAAATAAAACAATTTTTTTTTTTTAATAGAAAAAAAAATTATACATAATACAAACATTTGTTAAAATAGAAAAAAAATTTGACACATTAAAAAAATTAAGCTGAGACAATAAAATGTGATAAATTATTATTATTATTATTATTATTATTATTATTATTATTATTATTATTTAGTAAAATATGACATTTTTCACAAAATTAAGAATAACTTACTATTGCATTAGTAATAGAAATGTATGCAAAAAATATAAAACTTATTTTTATCATTGTTGATATTACTAACAATTAGGTGGAGAAATTTTTTGTTTTTTTACATTTAAACGTTTCTTTCAGTAATATTTAATGCTTTATATATTCTCTCATGATAAAGAAAGTGCAGTAAAAAGTTCTTATCTTTTCTTATCTTCTTATCATCATTTTCAATTATTGCAAATTTTTAAAATACTAATTTACAAGAAAAAAATATAATTAATTTTTGTATTTTGATTATTTGATAAATATTATGGAGAAAAAAATGGTTCTTCAGAGAAAATTTAATTTCATAATATTCACGTGAATTTTTATTAATTTTCGCTATCATTATACATTTCTTTTGAAAATTTTCTTATCTAATTCAAACAATTGGTACCAGTGACAAATCCTGTAAAATGAATTCGTAATAATAGTGGTGTATTGCCTCTTTGCCAATATTTTCTGCTTATAAATACTGATACGTCAACGAATCCACATTCTCGATTTTTTGTTTGATACGAGTAAGTATCGGGTATCGTGTAAATAGCTTTTGTACCCTATATAGAAAAATAATTATTTTTTTTTGGGCAATTATTTTTAAATTTTAAAACCAATATGTATAAGATCGTGGCGTATTAGCGCATTTCACTTTATTATTAGTTTTATTGTTATTTAATAATTATTGTGAAAAAATATATTAAAATAATTAATTTTTATAGTTCAGAGTAAAATTTAAAAAATTTTCATATATCACAATATTATATTTCATTACAATTTTATATAAATTTACCATTTTGCCCCAAAGTCGGGGTGTATTGGCACTGTCTCTCCTAGTTATAGAGATGTGATATTTTTTTTTTTTACTTACCTTTTTAATTGGACATTTTTTGGTGTTAGCAAATTTTAACAGAATTTGTTGTTGAACAGCATATTCTAAGGATAATGGACTATAGTTAGCACATAAATTATTGACTTTTATAATTTCTCGATTTCCAGAACCTTCAAAAATATAGTGAAAATAAACCTAAAAGAATATAATAAAAGTAACAATTAAATTAATGGAAATGTAAAATTTCCGATTAAAAACTACTTTTTTTTTAAATAATACGCGTAAAGATTTTTTCATATTTAACAATGTCGAATTTACCCCATTTTTTCGAATTAATCGCAGTGTAATGTCGGATTTACCCCAATTTAGTGTTGGATTTATCCCAAATTATTATAAATCGTATTTATATCAGTCTAATGTTGTATTTAGCCCAAAGTAATATCATCTTTACCACAAAATAGTATCGAATTTACCCCAATTTAGTGTCGTATTTACCCCAGTATTGGTTTTTTCCAAGTATAGTGTGAAATTTTGCCAAAAAAAACCGATATAAATTGTTTACTCTTAATTTGAATAATAAAAGTACCAGATTTACTTTAATATACATAGTGTCGATTTTACCCCAAAAGTAGTGTCGAATTCACCTCAGTGTAGTGTTTTTTCTTATTCCAGTGTAAAACTTTCCCAAAAAAAAAAAAAAAAAAAAAAAAAAAATAGAAATTGTTTACTGTCAATTTTAATAATTTTTTTTTGCATATTGACGTACTTTTAAGATATTCAAACGTTCATCATAGTTCTCCAACCATTCAATTTCGTATCCATCATTTATTTTTTTTAATCTAACTCCTTGAAACTCTCCACCTATTTTAATATTCACCCAGTTTATATAATCTGTTCTATTAACAAAATTTACTATTCCATTAGTAAAGGAAACGTAAAGGAAAAGTAGAAAAATTATTTTTCTCATATTGATATGATAACGATTGCGAGTGGATGAAAACTGTCTACATTTAAAATGTGTTTATTTTTAATAAAAATTGTTTTTTATATTCTCTCATTTTTAAATAGAATGTAGGAATAATATTTTATCAATTGTAAAAATATTTATAAAAAGAAACACAAAAATATAAATATAATTAAAAATTAATTTCAATCAATTTTCAAAGATATAACACTTTAACATTAAAAAAATTATGATTCTAGAAAATGTTTCAGGAAGTAAAATTAATCCATCTACAAAATGTAAAATGAAAAATATAAATTATTTCGTAAGAAAAAAAATTAGGAAAATTATTTTTATCATTCTGACTTGTTATTATTCTCAAGTATAAAGAACGCTTTCTACATATAAAACACTTTATTCCAGTAAAAATATAATCTTTTTATATTTCTCTTATTGCAAAGAATGTACAGGAAATAAGTTCTTATCAATTATACAAAATATTTGTAAAAATAAATTTAAAACAATATAAATAGAATGATATATTTTCTGCTTAAATTTAATAAATGATATAAAAAAATAATAAATAAGTCACTTTCAACAATTAAAAAAAAAAATTGTTTTTTTACATTTCTGAGGAAAAAAAAATATGTTTTGTCGACAAGAGAATATATTTTTGCTTTTTTTAAAAACAATATTTTTTTGTCTTGTTTATACGTTTCACAATACAAAATTACATAAATAGATATTTATAAATTCAATTATTATTTTGTAATAATAATTTTAATAATAATAATAAAATAATAATAAAATAATAATAAAAATTTAATTATGAAATAATAATAAAATTAAATTTAAATCCACTATATTTGAAAATTTATGATTAAACAAATGCTAAATGATTACATACAGAAAATGTAATTTTAATTATGTGTATGACATTTTTTTATCTACAATTTCTTACAAGGTATATAAAATTAAAAAAAAAACCAGTTTCGAAATACAGTCGAACCTGTATAAAAGAGAGTTCAAGGGACTGGCAATTTTCTTTCTCTTATAGAGGTTTTTCCCTTATTCAGTTTTTCATTTACAGAGGTCTGAGATCGATTTTTATCACTTATAGAGGTTTATGAATTTATGTTTTTTTAAAGTAATATAATATGAAATATTTGACTAAGAATGGTTTATTATTTTATTATTATTATTACGCCATAGGGTAACTGCACCAGTGGTGGATCATGCACCAGTGGTGGATCAACTGCGAGAAAAATGGTCATTTGTGTTTACACGTTTGTAAGTAAATGAACCGCAAGTGTCGGTAATTGTTAAGAAAGTTATATAGATCAATATTACAATTTAAAAAAATTTTTAAATTCATCGCGAAGAAAGCAGGACAACAATTACTAAAGTGGTGACAGAAAACAAGAGTTTTCCTTAGCATGTAAGTTAAGAGTATATTTTGGAATAGAAAGCTTTGGAGCCATTTTAGGACAATTTTTAATTCTTTTCACAATAGGAGGCATTTGGTTTCATCCCCATAGAGCCCTGAGAACAATATTTACGTCTGTAAGTAGCGCGTGTCCATTGTTTTGGGGTGATCCACGACTGGAACCAAAAAAGTAACAAAATCTAGTGGTGGATCAGTCCTACTTTTCGCCTGTTGACGAATTGTTTTATTGAAAATTTTATGAGTTAAATTTTAGTTAACACTAATTCAAATGTTTATTAATTGTTAACACCTGGGGGTCGATTACGTAACTTTCCCACTTCCCACATCTCACTTCCCACATTTTACATCCCAAATCCCACATCTCACTTCCTACATTTTACATCCCACATCCCATATTTCACATCTCACTTCCCATATTTCATATCCCACTTCCCATATTTCGCATCTCACTTCTTACTTCCCATATTTCATATCCACTTCCCACTTCCCATATTTCACATACCACATCCCACTTCCCATATTTCACATTCCACATCTCACTTCCCACATTTCACATCTCACTTCTCACATTTCACATTTCACACTTCACATCTCACATTGTACATTACACTTTTCTTATCACGCTTCTCACCTTTTATATCCCACTTCTCACATCTCTCCCATTAACCACAAGATGTTGGATGTGGGAAGTGGTATGTAAAATGTGGGAAGTGAGAAGTGGGATGTAAAATCTAGGAAGTGAGATGTGGGATGTGGGAAGTGGGATGTAAAATGTGGGAAGTGAGATGTGGGATGTAAAATGTTGAATTTTTTTGTTGAATTAAAATACCCAAAATTAATAAATGTTATTTATCATTGAAACTGAAGCTTTAAGAGTTTCCATTTATTTATTACCAAAAATTCTAATAAAAAGATGATTAATTAATGTTTAGTCACATTATAGCTATAGAAATGAAAGAGGAGGGGATATGGATAGGAAAGTGAATTTGAAAATCTGTCCGTAAAGCCTTATAAAAGTTGCAAAACGTCTCAGTCTCGTAATTTTAAAATGCAATGTTTTTTAGTATGATTTTTTAAGTGATCCACCACTGGAGCAATCTATAACCATGACTGGTGCAAACAGTGATCCAGAATAGGATCATTGACAAATTATCTTTGATGGAGCATTAAAGTAAACGTAGGTGTCAAAATTAAGTCTAACCTTGAAGGAAATGTCTATTGGAACTATCTGGTCCATAATACTATAAAGAATAACCTCGAATTTGTCTAAAAACAACCTATACAGAACTTCAAAGTCAAAATACGAAAGTTAAGGGGCTTAACTGATCCACCACTGGTGCAGTTACCCTATGTATTATTTATTTATGTTTAAGAAAATCGGTAATTTTTGTTTGTTTTCCTGTTTAAATATTTTCAATTTACTTCTGAAGCGCAAAAATTTTGTCAAAAAGAGAAATATCTATATTGCCGTGAAAGATTGCTGTAAGCTTGCTACATAAGGTTGCAGAAGAATTTCAACAGGCTTCTGGAAAGGTTGCTGCAATTTTTAAAAAAATACATTTTAAATTTAAAAAAAATTTATTTGTTTTCTAAATTTGAAAATCCTTGTGACGTTTATTATTATTAATTATGTCCTGTTTATTTTCATTTGAAAACTTAACGAGAAAATTTTCGAAACAAAGAGGGGACTGGGAATTGAACCCGGGTTCGACAGACACTAACAAAAGACCCTAATTGAGAACCTACTCGACCAACTATTAGAGAATAAAAAAATTTTGCTCTTAACCCTCGACTGTTTTTATGAGTTGAAAAACAGTTGAAAAACAGCGAGCTTTTTCAAAATGCTTTTAAATAAAAATTTTGTGTTTTCTATTTTATTTGTTAATTAATCAATGTTAT